TTAATAATTAAATTATTTATTATATAATTTTTATATTAATTTTAATCAAATTTTATATAATAAAATTTAAAAAATAACAATTCAAAAAAGTTTATATTAGTAAAATTTTTTTATAAAGATATATAATAAAAATTTTTACATTTAAATAAAGTTCAATATTCAATAACTTAAGTAAATAAGATGGAATTAAAATTTTATTTTGAAAAAATAATCTATTAATATTTATTTAATGTATTAATCTTTTTGTATCAGATCATATTATAAATTATAATTTAATAATATAATTTTTAATAAAATTAATATTTATTATTATATATTAAAAATTTTAAATCTTACTTTAGTTAATTATATTATAAAATATTTTATTATTTTAAATTATTTTAATCTCAGATTAATTTTTATTATATTATATTTTAATATTATAAATTTATTTAATTTATTTTTATATATTAACAGACTATCAAGAAAAATAATAATATTATATTTTATCTTGTAATTTGATTAATTAAATAATATATATTTAATATATATATAAAAGTATTATATTAATAAATTCTAAAAATATATATAATATAAACTATCTATATAAGAATAAAAAATCTTAAAATTTTTAATTTTAATAATATTATTAAAAACAATATATTTTACTATTTCAAAAGTTAATTTTTAATTGAATATACAATCATGTAATTATAGATTTCCTTAAAATTATTATATGCTACTGAAATAGTTTATGTGATTTTATCAAAAATTGTTTTTATAAAGAACATCAAAATTATATTCATCAGCAAATAATAAAATAATTCTTGAACTTTTTTATGCTAATATTAATACTAATTAAGATGAATTGAAATAGACTAAATGAATCCTAAATATAAAGTAATTAGATTAAAGCAAATGCATTTTTTTTATACAACAATACTAAATTTAGCATTTCTATATATTGTAAATCATTTTATTTTTATGCGTCCCTTAAAATTCGTAATTCTTATTAAGAATTGAAAGTAATACATTGTGCCAGTACATTAGTTACGGAGTAGTTCACATCATCTCTATTTTCATTGGATTCCCTAAGAATGGATATATCAGATGGTCAAACTGTTCTATTGTCACAAAAATCTCCTTTTTAAAAATCAAATTATCTGCAACCACGATTATCGTGTCCATTGTCATTCCATTAATCAATCAAGGATGAAACGATTTAACTCCTGAAATGAACCAAGAAAGGCTATGTCGTCATTTATTAATAGTTTTTTTTTCATAAGAATCTGACTAAAATTAGTATTAAAGTTTCGTTGTACGTGAGAGATATGAATCCGATCATCACGATGATTGGTACGTTGTACGTGACTATCTGTGTTACGTGTGGCCGGTATTAATCATGATAGGGAGTCGGTCGGAATGTATAACAGATAACAAAGTCGGCGTTCATTCGGGTAACAAAAGAAGGAAAGATGGGCTAAAGAATTTAAGGATTGTAATGGGTAATGTTTGAATGTTTGAATACTTTAAGAAGAAAAAAAGGTAAAAAATCGCCTGACACAAGAAATTTTTAAGAGTAAGAGATGCTCATTTAACGTAATAACAGCGGCAATTAAAAAATAGGTAAAATATGGCGCATACTAGTCATTTAGAAGAGCAACGCCATCGCACAAACAAAAAAAAAACTATTTTCCCATTCCCAAAATGATTATTATAATTACTTCGTTAAGATGATGCAAAATAATGCTAGAAAATATTTAGGCATCGATATGGAAAAAAAGAAGTACAAAAATTCCATTCATCCATTCTATTTCGCCCACCAAAAAAAATTTCTTCGATTTTTGCAAACATTATTTTTTCCATATTTGACCTGGGGGGCGTTAAAATTCATTCATTACGCAAACACAAAAAACCTGCCAGCTAACCACCACGCTAATGTCTATTGCAAAAAAAAAGCAATTCGATACATGTAGTAATCTTTCCACTAACTCTTACCACGTGTGAAAAAACATCTCTAGTTTTTTTCTAAACCATTTTGGAATACTCTACATTTATGCAAGCGAACAGCAGCAGAGATGTTTTATTTTTATTTCTCTGTTTCAGTATACATACAGTATATATTAATACATAAGTACTGTGTATCTTGTCTGCTGCACTTGAAAAGACTATTTATCTTTTTAAACTGGCAAGTGGGTTAGCAAGCAAGGAGGTACTCATTCAATGTAAGCAGCACGATGCTATCAAATCAAGTATGTCTCAATGTATGATTATAAATTCAAACCACGCGTGCTTTTTTATTTTTACTCGTTCTTGCATGTGTAAGAAGACGAAAACGCGTAAGTTAGTTGGTCGTAAAAAAAAGAGCGATGCAACTAAGCCTAAAAATCATTGAATTGAGAAAACTAACTAACGAAAAAATATAGATTGCATTGTCAATCAAAATCCGCAGTAAAGCATTTTATAGAAAACTCCCTGAAAAAAAATCAATGATCAATTACGTTAATGTAACGTAACATCTGTGTGTCACATATCGTTGAAATTACCCGGAAAATGATAAATATATGCGTGTAAATATCATGAATGTAAAAGGGTATAAAACGCATGTATAAGATACCACGTTTACGATTTAAATGATTTCATGATGTACCTTTGTGTGTGTGTGAATTAAGAAAACGACACAACGGTTGTACTACTTACAAATTTTTTAGCGTTACCCGATTTAATTATTTATGCTATGTTTTTATTTCATGTACTGTACGCTATTTTCATCATTATATATGGTTGGGGAGGAAAAACTTTTAATAAAAAAAAAAGATTTTTATTTGTTTAACGATTATTGTAAAAGAGTAATTACATTTTTTTCGTACGATATTTGATTCTATAATTCTTTTTGTACAAACCAGTTCACCATACATAAATATAAATCTAATACAAGTTTTTTTTTTTGCTTTGTATTGTAGTTAAGAATTATCTTTCACTCTATTCTTTTTTTTGTGTTTATATGCGAGCACTTTGTATATGTGTGTGTTCTCTCTTCTTTAAACAATTGTTTTTTTTCAATTACCATATCAGATATATTTGGATACTATAATTCATAATCAATCCCCAGTTGATAGCTGTTATTATTGTGTATATAGTAAATAAATACCAAGGGCACGAACTCCGTTTTCTTTATTTCACGCAAATTTTTTTATTTTTTTTTCTTTCGAATTTTTCATTTACAAAAGAAGCTGACTTGCTGGTTTCGTCAATTTATTTATTGCTTTTTTTTTGCTGCCGTTTGTTAAAGTTTTTTATTTTCAGCACTTTGCAAAGTTTTATATAAACAAACCACTCAGAAAAAAAGGAAAGAAATAAAAAATAATGGGCGTTATCCAATCAAAATCAGAATATGGCAATGGACAAGGAACAAGCAGCGCTACAACAACAAAGCTTTCACTTCATGGCGGCGGTTCTTCGTGTTATTACCCTTCTTCAACAACAAGAGGAACTCTAAACTCCTCAACACGTCGTTCTCGTTTCCGAACACTACGTAATCGTCTCTCAACGTCCTCGTCACAAACGAACGACAGCTCGTCGTCAGACACTTATCGCTTCGCGGACGGAAGACGATTCTTGGACTCTTCGAAGAATGCTAATTCTGTCAGGAGTACCTCGGACTATTATATGACCATGACAAGGGGTTCTGTTGGTATTGGTGCTGACACGAAAGAAAACAATAAAAACAGCAACAGAATACAAATTATCGAAGACGTGGAGAAGTTGAAGCAACAACATCACCTGTTTAAACGTGTTTGGAATGGGAATTACTCTGCACCTGTGAAAATGAGGCTTAGAGACGGTGCAGCCAAAGTTTTGGATGTTGGGTAAATATTTTTTATTTGGTTTCGTGTTTTTAGTAATAAAAAAATTTTTTTTGATGAATTCGCGTTGATGTGTTGATTGGTCGTTCGTTTTTCTTTTGGATGTCAAATTATTTGAAAATCGGTAATTATGTTACTGGTTATTATCTATATTTGGCATGTTTAAAAGAACATTAATTGCATACCATATCTGCACATGTTATAATGTCGATCTCTGCATGGTTTTCCACGTGCATGCATGTCTATGCATGTGTATCCGAAATTAAAGATCATCCTTCATTCATTCCTTTTCAAACATTTCTTTATTTAACAAAAAAGGTGTGGAACAGGAACATGGGTATTGGAAATGGCAAAAGATTATCCCGCATCAGCGTTCACAGGCATCGACTTGGCTCCAGTGTTCCCGTCATCCTCACCTAACAGCAACAATAGTACGTCGTCAACAGAGAAGAAGTTGATGAATGTGCGATTCTTACAATGTGATGTGTTGGATGGCTTACCCTTTCCAGGTATATCATTTATTCTTTCATTAATTCTCCGATTAACGACGTTAAGATCCAATTTCTTACCCTCCTTTTTATTTAATAGATAATACATTCGATTACATTCACATGCGCCGCATGATTACCAGTTTCAAAGAACAAGAATTTCAAGATAAAATTCTTCCAGAGCTGGTGCGCGTACTGCGACCAGGTGGATGGGTGGAAATCGTGGAGATTGATAATGAATTGTGCAATGGCGGAACGATCGCTACTCGATTGACTACTGCGCGTAGGTTTTAAAATCTTGATCATTGATCTTTTTGATTATTTAATTGGTTTTTTTTTTTTTACTAATGATATTCGATATAATGTGTAGTGTATGATTATCTGTACACTCATGAAGTAATCGCGCAAATTAGCACTCTAATCCCGAAACACATGGAATCGACAAAAGGATTATCGAATCTTCAGATCCTTGAAAAATCGTGTTTCTTGGGAAAGTGGGCCGGAAAACTCGGTCAATTGGTAAATTTTTTTTTCCTTTTATTTTAATACGATTTCACAAATCAATCCCCATTTTCCAATGATCATAAATTCTTCTCGGAAACAACAGGCACTTGAAGACGTGACAAAATCATTCAAATCACTTCGTCAGCCTTTATCCAAAGACCTACACATCACCACCAAAGAATACGACGAATTAGTACGACAATTTAACAAAGAACTCGAGCAGTCGCATAGGACAATATCAAAGATGTGGCGGTTTTTCGCGCGGAAAAGTGTGGCGGATAATGGTGTGGTATCTGTTAACACTGATGATGTCACGTTTGAGACGAAGACATCGACTACCACAAATTAGTTGATTGGTGAAGTCAGCATTTACATATAAGGCAGAGCAGAGCAGTACACACACATATACATACATATAAATACGCATATCTATGTATCATACACACACACACAACACACATATATATATACACACACCCTTAATCGAAGGATTACGTCCGCGTCTTAAACACCAATGTATATACAATAATTATCAATATCACCGTATCGTATATATATATATATCATACATTCTTCACATGCATATACTTGCACCATTCATATTCATATCCAAATACACATCTCACATCATACACACGCATATTTTTCCCTGTATATTTTTTCATTACATCCTCATCCTCATCTTCTATCATTATACCCCCTTCATACAATTACATAATTATCCACAACCATTCATTCAAACATCTATTCATCAATGATCGTATATCTTATTCATAATGGACTATATATAATTATATAAATCCAAAGTTTCGTTCCTCTCTTCAATAATAATTATATTGTTTCTTAAATTTTTTATTTGATAATGTATATATTTATTTTCTTTTTATAATTGTGTCTAGGGGACAAACAATTCCTGATGTTACTTATTTATTTGTTATTGGATTATTATAGTTGTGTCTTGAATTTGATAATAAATGACAACAAAAGATTGTGGTTTTCCTCTCTGATTCAGTAGATTTTAATTGTTTATTTATATCGAACTAGTGCATTCTTAAAATCGTTCCTTTTTTTGATCCTTGCAACATCACAATAAATAAACATTAGCGACCGAGGCAGGGATTGAACCTGCGACCTTCTGCTCCGGAGACAGACGATCTTTCCACTGATCTACACGGCCTCTCTAGTGACGCAATTTAGGTACAAATTTTTTATATCTAATGTATAGTAATAATTAGTCATTCATTGAAGGGCAGTTTGAATTTTTTGAGGTATTAATAACATTCAGGAAATTAAAAATCTACATTTTACAATTTTATATTTACAGGTGATTTTTAATACAATAATTTTTTTCCTCTTTTTCTCGTTCTTAGAATTAAATATTCAAATCAAATAGAACAAACAAACTATAAATAAAATTTAGTGGCTGGTTTTTAAAAGCTTACCTTTTAATCATCTAAAAAATATATTACAAAAAAAGAATATAATACTAAACAAATTAAATGATGATCTATAGAGCATTCATGAATTCAACCCAACAGTTTCACCATACTCTTCCTCATTTGAACTTGCATTACTATCACTTGATCCATGTTTACTCGGTGCAATCAACTCATCATTCACTCCAGCATCATTCCCAACATTCCCATTTTCACCATCAAATTTATCCTCTTCTCCACCAAGTATAAGAACATCCGGCGGAGGAAAAGGAGGAGATTGCGGCGGTGAAAGAAACACCGAAATTCCCGACAATGTCGAATGTTGAGAAGGCGTGACAGAAAGTGCTGGGGACGCCGCTCGTTCAATGAACATAACTCCTTGTCGGACCTCCTGTATGCTTGGTGCTGTTAATTCGGTCTCGTGTGTTAATGCATTATCGTCAACAAAAACACTGGGCGTTCGATCATCATTACCGTTGTTAATATTATCGGTATTGTTGTTACTAACATGATGATGAGAATCTCTATGTGATGAATCTATTGCTTCATATGGCGGTGGAAGTTCACCCGGAGGCATCAACCAATTTGTGATCGACGTCATTATGCTGGGTGATGGTTGTTCCTCGACAGTCTGATACGGTGGCAGGGTGGTTATACTATTGCTTCGGCGTATCGAGTCATGATTCAGTAATATTGACGCGCCCCTTCTTATTCGTAATCCCATCGATGAGATTGGTACTGTGCCATTATTATTCCCATGCTCCCCATTATGATTGTCATCAATTTCTAATCCCGTCGTTTCCAAATCTTCAAGCATCTGCCTCTTGAATATCCTCCGTGCATAGATGATTAACATAACAGAGATTACCATGATCAATACACAGGCAGCTATCACGGCAACTTGTCCATTATTTGTGGTGCTACCGTCTCCATTATTACTACCGCTAGTGTTAACACTTTTTTCATCAGGAAAAGTCTGTTTATAACTAGCATTCGGCTTTCGCCCGTTACCGGTCAATATTGAGAATGCGGATGATGAGGACGATGGCGAGTTGACACATGTGGTAGTGACATTACTATCCTGTATATCCAAAAGTTCCAAATCTGACCCAAGATTAGAGCCCGTACATTCCTCGCTTTTACATTGATTCGACGATACACATTCTGCACCGGAATCTAACTTGTTGTAACATGTTTGCGTGGATGCATTACAATATAACCGCGTGCTTTGAAAATCGTCCAGACAAGACCCGATATTCATCAACAGATTGTAATAACTGTTTTTGGGCGGTGGCGTTATTGGTGGTAATGATGATGGTGATGATGAAGATGTGTCATTCCAATGCACATAAGCAAACCATTTCACAAATTCCCCGGCTTCACCCTCAATACTCGGCAGAATCTCACATTGTTTTCCCACCGAATCAGCAAATAATGGTCCTGCATACTCGATCGGTGGAAATGTTGTGGCATTTAACTTCCAACTTGGACTACTGCTATTACTACTATTCTGACATGTCAAGTTTCTTGGTGGTATAATATAGCACGATTGATCATCTCCACAAATTGGTCCTTTATATCCGCATGATTTTCGATTTAATGCTGCATTTATATAGTCTGCCGAGGATGGTGTAGTCGAGGATGGTGTAGTCGAGGATGATGTAGTCGAAGATGGTGTAGTCGAAGTTGATGTAGTCGAAGATGGTGTAATCGAGGATGACGTTTCCGTGACTGTTGTGGATTCCTTTGTTGGATCTTGAGTCGTTGCCCCCTCATAAGATGTCATAATATTAATTTTAATGAAATTTACCAAAAAAATGTTATCTTACAGATGCTGAAAAATCCCAGATCGCTCGGATCAAACGTCAAGTGATGTATTTGCTTCTTGTTTATTGACGACGAATGTATGAAAAAAAAGACGGACAGCCAGTCGCGCATACACACGGTCTTTCAAAGATGTATACGAGAAACAAAATGAATGAACAAGCTTTTCTTGCTGTTTGTTAAACCGAAGATAGCCGGATTCTATTCCATCACGAGGAAGAATATATGTGTCAATTATCGAATACGATACAAAGGTGTTTGTTTTTTTGCGCTCATCGTTATATTATTTTTCAATTCAACTTCGGCCATACCAAACAATCATGCATACAAGTTGTCGCACATGAAATACGAGTAATATGCGAGATGCACTTCATACAATTTTCCGATCTGTTTATTTGTTTGTGTAGCGAAAAGGTTAGTACTTCTATTCTCTATTTATATAAATGATAAGCCTCATAGCGAGTTCATACAAAGGCTTTGATGAATACAGCCACCTGGTGTGAATCTTACTGGTTATTAATCAAATCATTGGATTAGATAAAATAGAACTCAATTAAATAAACGCATGCCCATATTAAAATTTCGTTTGGAACAACTGGTGTATTTTTGCTCACCCAGTATAATCTCATGTTTTTACCAAATCACCGAAAACAGGGAAAACAGAAATCGAAAACATAATTTGAATATTACTGTCTCCAATGAATTTCCAGTTGGTAAATACAAATTATGCATGTCGTAATTGCTGACTATTAGAAAATAAAAAGGGTGGCGGAGCATCGTTGTCCCGCATCAGCCCACACTAGCATCATCATTAGCACCAGCATTATTTCCAACCAGAGGAACTCTGGCGATGCCGATCGGCTTTGGCTTGGAAAAAAAGGTGTCGACGTACGGTTCCGGGGTGCCTTGAGCTAATGGAATTTGCAAGCCAGCCAAATTATCTATTTATAAAGGTTAATGATTAAGCCTTCCTCAAAATTTCAACATTCCTTTTTCCTCTATCTGCGCATTAGCCATATCATTCCGATTTGATAAAGTTCATGAATCAATAAGTGTTTACTTACAAGATGATCTCTCACAAGGCTTAAAATGTAAAAATAGCGATTTATTTTCACGAAGCTCATATAGAATACATTAAAGAGGTTATATCTTACCGAATCATATATTGATCACCGGCCAATTACATCACGCGAAGAATAGCTTGGCATAGCAGACTTTAATTCAATAATAATCAACCAATTATGTTTCAAAGTATTATTAATTAAAAGAATTATTTCAAAAGAAAATTAAATTCTTTGCTTTTGTTATAATTGATTTATATTTATAATATATAAAATCATATTTTATTTTCTGAATTAATAGCAAATTCTTTTTAATTAGATTTTCTAATTTTTTTATATATTTATTTTATAATTTCTAGTTTTAGTATTTTAAAAAAAGAATTATTTATTATTAATAAATTATCTTTTATTAATAAGTTTTATATAATATTTAATAATTTTATATTATTATCATTTTAAGCTTATATATATATAAGTATTTTAAAATAGTAATAGTAATTATATTCATGACAAATTATTAACTTTTTAACTTTGAAGAATAAAACTAAATTAATAATATATTATAATTTTGATTTGATAATAATTATTAATTGTATTTCATATTATAACTATATCACATTACTATATCTTATATAATAGCTAATTGATTATAAAACCCTTAGTTTTAAGAGATTTACTTTGTAAATTTTTAATTATTATTAATTATAATAACTAATTTTAGATTATTAAACTTAATATATAATTTTAAATAATCACTATTATTGTAAAATTATTTTATTAATGATTATAAACAAGATAAAATGTGATATGAATAGTTTTAATTTTATAACTTATAATTATTTTTTATTATTTAAAAGTATTCAGATCTGAAAGAAAATTACAGAATAGAGAGATCTTATTTATAACAAAAGAAATAAATACAAAAGTGAATAAATTAATAATGAAATCTATTTTAAAATACATATGGATTGAACAGAATTAGTTAACTTAATTTGTATCTTCAGAGGATAACTAATTATAATCTAATAAATAATAATATGATAAATAATTATAAATAATAATATAAATAATAATTAAAAAAAAATAAGTAAGAAAATAAAAAATTATAAAAAGAAATAATTAATTAAAAATATTAATAATCTAAATTAATAATTATGATATACATAGTAATCATTTGCATAATAATATACTAAATCTAATGTATTAAATACATAATAATTATCTGTATATCCAGTATGAAATTGATCTTCTTAAAATATGATACAAAGTTAATCTGTAATATAGATAGCATAAAATGAAGATTTAAACTAAAAGAATTTAAAAGAAAGTTAACTCAATCAAAATTGTTACATATTTTCCTACTTAAAGTATAATATTTTTATTTATATTCAAGTATGTGATTTCTTAAAGATATTAAACTTCTTCATAGTATTTTTTAAGTTCTCTAGAGATTTTCAAGTTATATTATAGAAAGGATGACTAAATTATTTAATAAGATATTAAGATTTGTAATAATGAATTCTTTTATCAAGAATATTCTTCTTTATTATCTGAAATAATAATTACTGATGATGATTGATATTTATTAAATTTATTATCTGAATTATATTTCTTTAAAAATAATATATGAAATATCAGGTGTAATTTCATATTATATGATAGTTGCAGTTTGTAAATGACAGAAGATATTTTTGTGATGATCTCAAAGGGATCTATGAACTTTGATATAAGTTTCTTGATTATTCTTTGTTTATCTACTGGAGCTTCTATATTGCAAGTGAAGAGAAGAACTTTATCTTCAAGATTAAATTCTTCAAATCTTCTATATTAATTTACATATTTACTTTATCTATCTTATACTTCTAGTAATAGATCTTTTGCTATTTTCATCATAGTATTTCAATACTCCATAAAATCTTGAGATGCTGTAATATTATTTTGAGAGAACAAGATATTAATTGATATGTAAGATGTTTGTTCACAATCTAATTCAAAAGATGTATGATCTATTAAAGTATTTTTACTATTATTATAAACAAATTCTACTGCAGTTAGATTTTCATTTTATCTATTCTATTAATAGGTAGTATATATTCTTAATATTTCTTTTAAAATTCTATTTAATCTCTCTATTTGACTATTTGTCTAAGGATAAAATGCTATTAATATTACTAGTTTTATTTCAAGTTATTCAAAAAAAGACTTTTAAAAGTAATTAGTAAATTTTATATTTTTATCTGATATTATAATTATAAGTAAGCTATGCAATTTAAAAATATTTTCAAAGAAAATCTTTGCAATATCAGATACTATTACTGTTATTGTGATTGATATAAAATATATTCTTTTTAATAACTTGTTTACAAATATAACTATTATATCATATTCAGACTTGATGATTAGAAGTTGAACTATAAAATTCATAGTGATGTATTCTCATCTATATTCTGGAATGATGAGTGATTAAAGTAATTCTGAAGATTGCTAATTACTAGATTTATTGTATTGATAAGATTCATAACTAATAATATATTTGTAAATATTCTTATTCATCTTAAACTAATAGAATTATTAAGATATAGCTATATATATTTTATCTATTTCAATATATTCTGCAATTAATATATCATAAAATTCAAACAAGATTTTTACTTTTAGGATCTTGTCATCTGGAATAGTTAAACAACTTATATTTTTCAAGTATAATAATTCTTCTTTCAATTCAAAATTTTTAACTTTAGTTTATTACTTTGAATTGATATTATTGAAGTTCTTTAAGATTTCATAAATTTTTGCAAAATATTTATCTTCTTTATATTTCTTTATCAAATCTTCTTAGCCAATAAGATTGGTGATGACAACTAAAATATTTGTCAGGTATGATTGACATGAGAGTGTATTTATCATTATATTATCTTTGTCAAATTTATATTTCACTTCAAAATTACTAATCTGCAAAGTTTCTAATTAGTGAGCCTATCTCTTGAAAAGATTGTATTATATTTTTATATATTTCAAAAAGATATGATCTGTGATTACTATGAACTTTTACTCTTCTAAATATGACTTCCAAAATCTAATTATATATATAATTATAAGTAGTTCCTTCTCATAAACTGAATAGTTCTGTTCAGCTAGTGAAAGTTTTCTTGACTCAAATATAATTGATAAGTCACTCTTGTCTTGATTTTGATTTAACACAATTCCAATAACAAAATCTGAGATATCTGTGATAATTATAAATAGTAGTTTTAAGTTAGGTAATAATAAAACTGATACTAAAATGTGATGATACTTATTATATTATTATAGACTATTCATAATCTTTATCTTTATGTAGAAGTACTGTAAGAGATAATATTATTACTAAAAATTCTTTCACAAATTTTCTGTAATAACTTGCTAATTCAAGAAATAAGCAAAGTTCTAATATATTAGTTAGTGCTAACCAATCTCTAATTATGATAATCTTTCTTTGATCAATTGAGATACTATTTACTAATATAAAATATTCAAGATATTTTATATATTATTATATGATATTATATTTCTTTCACTTGACATATAATTTATGCTTGCAAAGTATTTCTAATACTATCTGTAAATGTTATATATATTCTTTTTTTATTTTGCTATATATTAGAATATTATCCAAGTATATAATTACAGACTTGTTAAGATAATTATAAAATATATTATTTATTAATATTATAAAGATTACTAATATATTAGTGAGTTCAAAAGAAAGAATCAGAAATTCATAATGATTATAATGAGTTCTAAATACAGTTTTATATATATCTTTTTCTGCAATACATATTTGATAATATCCTAAATATAAGTTCAGCTTTGAAAAGTATTTTAATTTTGTGAGTCTGCCTATTAACTCATCAACTCTTAA